GTAGGATTTCTGGGAGCTATCTTCAGTCCAGGGACTCTCGAGGTAGCCTAGCTGGTGTTCGCATGCCGAAGTCTNCTAGCTCCGATAGTAGGCGCCATCACGACACCCGATGGTGGGAAATCCGGGTCGTGACACGGAAATGGTGAAAGGATGCCAAGGAGAGCGTGTAAGACTCTATGTTAGAGGCACCATTCTTGGTTACAAAAGGTCGAAGTCGAATCAGTATCCGAGCACGTCATTAATTCAGATCGAGGGAGTGAACAATAAAAAAGAAGTTGATTGGTATTTAGGAAAGCGTATGGCTTATATTTACAAGGCAAAAACTAAGAAGAACAATTCACATTATCGTTGTATTTGGGGTAAAGTTTGTAGGCCACATGGTAACAATGGTGTTGTTAGAGCTAAATTCAAGTCCAATCTGCCACCTAAATCCATGGGAGCTAAGGTTACAGTTTTCATGCAGCCATGCAACATATAAGCAAGTTGGACATAAATTGTTAAGTTTATCATTTCCCGAGAAATACCAAGGAGTGAACATCTCATTAGATGTTGACTAATTTTGTTCTTGGAGTTCCTATGTACGATTATTTGAGATGCTTTGGAAGTGAAAGCTTGAGATGGTTATTGATCAAGTTAAGAATTTTGGTCCAAGGATACAACCCTCTTTAAGTAATTTTTCCTGTTTCAAAGACGGATGAAGATTCAATAAAATTTTACAGGAAGTTATACTGTGTAATAGCAACGGGATTTTACAATTTTAAAGGAGTACGGTGCAACCTTTTCTAAAAATATCATATGGATTTTTTCCTACTCCAGGTATGTTAAGGCTAATCCTTTCTTCTTTTGGCATGACCCAAATAACGATACGTAAATATAATACTATTCCATAAGCGAAACTACTAGCAGAAGTAAGAAATCGACTACCGCCGTCGTAAGGAGCAATTTTTCTCTCATCAAACTCTCTCTGTGTAATTCATCTCTATTTATATATATTTACATGACATCCTAGGTTCTCACAAGTTAGGGTTTATCTTTACTTGCGATGATACTCCATTGATTCGATATTTACATTAGGCTGTAGAGTAACTTTTGCGAGGATGTATAATAATAGTTTCAGCTTTGTACCCAAATTTGTAATGGAAATTAATTCCTAAAGTTTTTGATTTTGAGTGTATATGCTGCTGAAAATCGAGTATTATGTGATGGATTACGATTGTAAAAGGTAAGGAACAACTCAACTCTATGTTCTTGATTCCCCATGTGGCATATATTATATCTTTTGTTCATGGGTCTCAGAATAATACACAATTGATAGAGTTTGTTCGAAGGGAATGTTGAGTTTATTAACATATTTTCATATGCATTTCATGCATTTATACATGCACATTGACCCATGAACAGATGACGTTATATACGCGTATATATATGTATATATATATATGTATATAGGATATGGGAAAGGTTATTGCGTTATATACGCACCACCACCTTGTTTACCGTGAAAATTGTAATAACAATTAAGTTTGTTTATGGGACTCAAAAAATACGTGATCTATTTTTATGCTAGTTTGTTAAGCAGTTGATGCTAGCTATGTGACACTTAGAGGCAAAGTAAAGTTAAGAAGAGAGCTATAATCAAACCGATAGGCTAGTTATTCGGGGCCTCGAGCTTGTCGATTCTGGGCCTTGAGGTCGATCCCGGAGCTCGATTACGAGCTATCGAAGATGGTAAAAATGTGATTAACAGTTATAATAAAATTAACGGAGGCTCTTTATGGCCAATGATAAGCAATAAATGATGAACAAATATGAAGATAATAAATAAAAACAAAAATATCAAGAGAATATGTTAGAGAGCGAATAGAAAGTTCTTGTATATTTCGTGTGGAGCAACTAAAGCAACAGTGGTTTACAAAATGATAAGGATCCCCTTTATATAGGAGGGGAATCCCAACATAGTACAAAACACATTAATGATAAAGAAACGGAGATAGGACAGCTAGAAGACATCCAGATTAAGGGCTAGGGTAGTCCTGTCAGTCCTAGCCAAGTGCCATGGGACCTCCCCATTTCTACCGTGGCCGAGGTCAACGTTATCCAAAGACCGGGCCTCAACGAACCTCGAGGGAGGAGACTCGATCATAACCTTGTGGCCTCGAGACTTTGAGATGGTTCCTTGAGGTGCCTCGATGTCAAGAAATTGGGCTTTTTGATTTCACCGTATACAGATAGTCCCCACGTTTCTTAGAGAGGTTCATCGTTGTGATGTCAGCCTATCAGAGCATTAAATGCCATGCCCAAAAAACCTCACAAGGGTCGCCGTCATATGCGACTAACGAGAAGCCCATGAACCGCTACCAGTTCGTCCCTTCCGCTTTCCACATGACTCCTATAAAGGCATCAATTGTTGGATAACTTTCACTTTCCCAACTACTTCAGATTTGCAAAGCCAGACCCATCCCTACTTGCATCCTTTATTCTTGCTTTCTCAAAGAAATTTCACAACTATCATGGCTAGAACCTCCAAGACGGTTCCTCGGAAAGACGAGACTGCCTCTTCATCTCGGAAATCAAAAAGGAAACCCAAAGCGATACCTACCTTGGAACAATGTACTCCCTCCATGCTTGATATTTCAAAGGATTTTACCATCTATACCACTTCATCCACACCGGGTCGATGTGGACACGTGTCCCGATACATTAGTGTCGTGACTAACATAGAGACGGTGAAGACAAACTACCGATGGGACGAGGCAGTGGAGGTGGAGATTTCCAGTCCCGATGAAAATATAACGGATCACAGGGCTAGCTTCCTTCATGTGTATACTTACCCGTTTACTTTGGGTCCTGTCGATTCTTCTGAATCCTCCCCTCCGGAGATAGATCCGGTTATCTTTGATTTTTTGTGACAAATATCAAGGGATGCTCGACCAAATTTATTCTTCTTTCTCGAAGATAATCTTGATGCTCCGCCATTTCACCAAATGAGTTGTGGGCGAGACTTTTACTCTCAACCATTTGATCGGGTTGTACAGCCCTCGATTTTATCAAGGTTTGATCAGGATTCACCATCGATCCAAAAAATCCTTTTTCTCGAGCACCGATGAGGGGAAGGATCGAGGGTGGATGAGTATGTTCGTCCGGGTGAGAACCTCAGACATAATTCCGATCGGGAGGATGCCTTTCCCGGGGTGGATCAAACGGTTGGACACTGCGTTCCCATATCTTGTTTGGTCTTGGAACGACCTGGCTAAGAAGCTATAGGTGGCCAAGAATCATGGTAAAGCTTACTTACCACCTATGCCTTAGATTTATGTTTCTCCCCATATCCTTTGTGCTGATAAATTACGATTACTGCGCTCGTGTACGCCTTGGTGAGAATATGTTGATGAGGTCGCCGCCTAGTGGCGAGATGGAGACTTCGGAGCCCGAAAAGGGCAAGAAAAGGAAATGTAAGGCGATTGTCGATCCTCCTGTGGCCAAGAAACCTAAGTCACGCGAGCCTCAAGCCGTTACTAGGACCTCGGCTTCATCTTTCAGAGCAAGTCCCGGCATTGAGGATGAGGATGATGGTGACGATGATGATGATGACGAGTGCCGGTTGGCATAGAGGATGAGGTCAAGCGCGAGAGCAGCACAAGTGCCTTAACCGAAGGCTGCTGAATCGGGAAAGACCGACTCAGGTCGGTCCCATAGGTCAAAGACCTTCGAGGAGGGTGTCAAAGTGGCCTCGGATCCCATGACCAGGTTTGGTGCGGTTTCCGCTAGGGGGACCGCTGCTGCTGACCCTGAAGGGTCGAGACTCAGAGCTTTTCAGGAGCAGGAGTTGCCCCTTGGAGACATCGGTGACATAGGTGAGTTCATTTCAGGCTTTCAATTCTCGTCAGGGGAACTAAGGGATGCTTAAGATGCGAACGCCGCCAAAGCCGGGGGCTCTCTTAAGGGGGGAGGCATGCTTGGCAATATTCTTGATGATGTTAGCGAGAGCGTCAATCTTGACGCTCCCGGCTCTATCAAGGCGGCGGAGAGGTTCATGCAGCAGGTGATAGCTGCTTTAAGTATATTTCTTTTAGTCTCGAGCATCTTCCTTCATTCTTCTAACTCTCCTGATTTGCTGTAGTGCAAGGAGATGTATGATCATGCCCTCTCTAGGCTTAACGAGGATCTTTCATGCAGCGAGAAGGAGCTTGGGAAACTGTCCTTGAGACTGCGAGAGTCAGAGGCTCGTTTTGCCCAGAAGGAGAAAGAGTTAGGCGAGCTCTGGGCTATTTTGGAGGGAGCATTCCGAGAAAAAGTTGCCCTTGCCAAACAGGTATTTTGTTATGCATGAGTCTTTCCTTCTCTCCCATAATTCGATGCTGACTGGTTTACTTTTCTTTTTGTAGGTCGAGCAAAATGACTCGCAGATTGGGCGACTGAATGGGGAGATCCTCGGGCTGAGGAACAAAACAAGGTAGTGACCTCGGAGTTGGTGTCAACCCATGATCATCTCAAGGATGCTTGAAAGGAGATTGTTGCGCTGGTTGTAGCCAAGTCCGAGATTGAAGGAAATGAAGCTACTTACCTAAAGTATGCGGCCACGACGAATCAAATAGCCCGTGACGTATCGATAAAGGGTGAGCAAAAACTGGCTCGGGCCTTCGAACATGCTAGGGCAGAGGCAAAGAGGAAAACCTTGGTGGAGATCGAGGCCGGAGGCGTCGATCTGTCAGTTGGAATTGAGGAGGCTTGGGAGCTGGAGAGAAAGTTGGCACTTTTGATCGTCCCAGACGAGGATCCTAGAGATGGTTCGGAGGATAGTGGCGATGAAGAGTAGGCCTTGTGCCGCTTTTTCTTTTTCCCTTTTTTTCTTTTTGTGCATGTACTCCCTGGGGAGTGAGTCTTGTAAAGAAGTCCGTTGTAAATACATTTTTGGAAATGAAAAAGGGGGTTTTCTTCCCCAAGTCTTTCCATTCTTTATATCTTGCTGCTCTTGCGGGGCTAATCTTTGAATTGTAATACTAATCCTTTAGATCCCACTGTTAGAGTAATCGGGACCCCTGAAATCGGGTCCTATATCGAAGTTAGGTTGATAGCTTCTTTGGGGCCGATGCTTGTGATGGCAAGAATCCCCCGAGGTCGCGATACCTCTCGACTCTCGTAGTGTAGTAGCATTCATGAGATTTGATAAAGGGGGCCCCGGGGTGATCCCGGGTGGTCCCGCCAGTACATTTCCCAAGGAAAAAGTGATGTTATCGTGGCCAAGATTAACTGGCCCTCTGGGTAGGCGAGCAGCCGCTGCTTTGCCCCTATATATTCATTCACTTGCTTCCTCAGTGGAGATTCTGCTACTCGGAGTAACTATTTCTCCTATAGAACTTGGTGCTTTGTGTTATTTCTCTCGTTGCTTCAACTCAAAATCTTTGCCCAGATTTATATCTTCCTCCTCTTATTTTATCGTAGTCATGACTGCTACGTCGATGTCCGACCATCAAGGAG